CTCAATCAAATATTGATTAGCTATGCAGGCATGTCTTTTAGATTTGTTTACATTGTCTGGAATATAAATGTATAGAATCTACCGTGGTCACAAAGTAAGTGATCAGTTTATATATTAATTTTAATGTAGAATTGATCCTCCATTTTATATCCAAATTAAAATGTCCTCTTTGTTTATCAAATTCTGATTAGGTATGAATCCGCTTCTTCTCTCCCAACCTACAGGTAAGACTTGTTTCACTAAATCATTACTATCTAAAAAAAAAAAATTCTTACAATCTATATAATAAATACAAATGTCAGTGTCTAACACTTTTTCAACTTTACTCCTAGAGGCTGTATCCCAACATATACCATTTTGGAATCAGGCTGACTCTGTGAGCAAATTAAAAACATTACAGGCTGGATCTGAACCCGCAATCCTGACATTTTGGATTTCCAAGTTTTCATTACTGTAATTGTTTTCAGATTCCACTATATTGGCTTCTGCCAATAAAAACAATTAAAGGGACATAACTTTCTAACTTTCAATAGCTTATGTTCAAATAAAAAAATTACTGTTCTCAAATTACAGTGTTTCAAAATAAAATTGTTTGTGTTTTCAACTTTACTCCTAGAGGCCATAGCCCAATATATCATACCATTTTGAAATCAGGCTGACTCTGTGAGAAAATTAAAAACATTATGGGCCAGATCCTGAAATATTGGATTCCCAAATTTTCATTACAGCAATTGTTTTTGTCTATTTATTTTTTTACATGACTTTTTGAAATAAATTTTTTTGTATGATAACAATTCTTATAACTGGGAAATAAATTTGGAAATAATCAAAATTAATTGCAAAATCCAGCAAAAGTCACCCATGAAATAAAAATAATTGTTTGTATGGAAAGTAAGGACCTACATACATCAAATTGTCTTTAAATTAAGTGGCGGTAAAAGAATTATCATGAAACATTTTACTCTGTAGTTAACTGTTGCCTGTTGCATCTACCCCTCCCTACCTATTGTGATGAAGGCCCAATCAAGAGCCCTCTGCAAGAGCTAGCTTAGATGCTGACTGATAGGGCAGCTTTTAAGCTAGTCTAAAAATATTTTATGGCTTTAAATAACCTGCAAAGGGTTGATAACTCATAGAAAATGTATCAATCAATCAATCAAATGCTAATTAGCTCCACGGGCATTTTAGATTTATTTATATTCTCTTTAATATAATTATATAGAAACTGTCATGGCCACAAAGTGAGGAATCTGTTTATATATTGATTTTAATATAAAATTTATCCCCCACTTTATATCCACATTATATATGAATACACCTCTTCTTCCTCAGTTATGGGTTAATTAGTAAGAATTGATTCACTAAATCATTACTATCCACCCCCAAAATATTCTGAGAATCTTAAAATATATTGTGGCTTTAAATAACCTGCAATGAATTGATAAGCTGTAGAAAGCAAATAAATGAATCAAAACAATCTACCAAGATACACAGTTATTATAACACTTTAGAAATGTTCTTAACATGTTAATCAGAAATACTTTGGATCTATTTTGGAAATTTTTGTTTTGGTAATTTTTTTTTTTAAGTGCCATATCTGTTCAGAACAATCATTACTCTCCGTAGAATTGTTGGGATCCTTGTACCCAGGTTTTTGTTTTTAAGTGTTGGGATCCCAAATATTTAATAGCAACAACAACAACAACAACACTTCTTTTAAATGAAACACGAGAAAGGTTATTTTCTGAAGTAAAAGTAGAAGTCGAATGTCAGTGTAACAACACTTATATATTGTTTTCAGAAATATACAATAGCAATAAAATGTTCAGTTTTTCATGGAGTGAAAGTTTTTTATAAAGTAATTAATTGTTTGTAGCGCAGTGTGAAATTTGTGAACAGACCTACTTAAGTTAGCTTAATGTGTTAATGAGTTCAGAGACAAAGGCTTAATCGGTGGTTGCTGGTTAATCCTTTCTATTGTGTGCATGGACAAAGCCTTAGTCATCGGTTGCTGGCTGTCTTTTTTCCATTGTGAGTGTGTGTATGCACATGTAGATCAAACTAGACTCTGTAATTGTTTTGAACCTCGAGAAGAAGTATGCATCCATTTTTATATCCGTAAGAGGATTCAAAATCTAATTTCACACAGATCTGTGAACTTTCTGAATACAAGGTTTTCATTGGTTAGAAAATTATTTTCATACTGGCTCACAAAAATCTTTTTCTCGAATTTGTGGAAGTGGTGAAATGAATTATTATTATTTTCTAAATGGTTAAAAAATAACTTGGCGTAGATCTGCAACTATGTCTGCAAGTGTTTTGGCAGTATTTGCTCTTTATCAAACAAATCTTCTGATGGAATTTTATTGGTTGAAAAATAGATACAGGATTTAATTCCTATAGATTCCATTTCTGTATTCTCTGTAAATTGCCATGATTTTCTTGGAAAGCTTTTGGAATGGTTTCCCTTTGTCTTCTTTATGGTTTGGCATTCAGATTACTCCTTCTCCTTGACTAGCTCTCACCCAAGGCTAGACAGCCCAGTCGATCCTGCTATTTAATCTATATCTGATAATATTAAATGTTTTATAATCATTCATCAATGTAATAATACACAAAAGTTAAGGAGTCACCTCTGATTTTTTGTCATAGTGAGAATCATAGGAAAATACAACTCATATTGGTTATAGTTGATGGTATGTAAACTTTTTGAATTTAAGTGCAGTACTAGACTAGCATTGAGATCACATCAATTTACAGTTGAGTTGGATAGATGTAACCATAACTATGCTAACAGTTCCTTTTCTCGCACTTCTCGCATGTGGAACTCCCTTCCGACTCCATGCTTTCCAGCCAACTTTAATCTTTAAAAATTTAAATGCAATGTCAGTCGCTATCACCTGTCCTCCTGATTACTCTTATTTTCTTCTCACTGTTTCTGTCTTCTAATTCTTCCATACCTTGTGTCTTAGTGGCTTTACTGTCTTGCTTGGAGTAAACTTGATTTAAAAAACAAAATTTTGTTTAATTTTATATTCCAAATTTTACTATATGCATATGGCATATTGTTGCAAAATACTTGGTTATTATAATAAAGATTTCAATATCTTATATTTAAAATTATAATAATCATAGGGAATGTATTTAGCAATGCCTATATGGCGTCAATGTGAAACCGCCTTCACTGGTTAGTGGATAGGATTTGTATATCATTGAGTGACTCAATTGAGTGTAGGACAAGTATCTATATATTGTCACCTGAACTACAGGAAAAATGTAAATGAGATAAATATTAATAATGGTATATAAAAAAAAATTTGTGCAGAAGTTCCCTGAGACATGAAAGCTATTTCAAGGTTTCCATAAGAGAAAAGATGTTGAAAAATGCTAAGATAAATATTAAATCTAACAAAATAAACGGAAAATTCTGTCTGTCCGACCATGTGTTTGAAACTCCTCTAACTTAGGACACACATAGACACATTACACTTTTTTGGAGTCAGGATGACCCCAGGATTGAAAATCTGTCCTTCATCTGGTGCTTGAACATCCAGCGTTGGGATTTATGTCCAGATGAGGAGGCAACAGGTAAAAATTCAAATTTTAAAATAACTGAAATAAATTAGTGATTTTAAAAGTTTTTAATTTATATTGTGTTTAAAATAACAAATAAACTTTGTGAATTTAACATTTTTTGTTTTAAATTCAGTTTAAAATATCTTCAAAACTTTGTGAATTGAGGAAATTGGTTTTATTTTCTCAAAATGCCAAGGAATCAGAGTTAAAGTCAGACATTTCGTGATGTGAGGTTTTCAATTTCCACAGAATTTGTTATTCAATGGACTCAACTCAATTGAAGTTCCATGGAGCTTGTGATTTGAAGAACTCAATTCTCAGCTTGAATTGGAATTTCAGCCCAAAACAGAATTTTAGCCAAAATCAGTCTTTTGACTGGAATTGCACTTATAGCCCAAATCAGATTTAAAAAGTGAGCTTTTGAAGTTCCACAGAGTGAATTGAGGAATTCAAAGTTATTTCTTCAAAATTATCATTGCTGTTTTCTAAACAGGACTAGAGGTCTCTTTTCAATTAGCTGACCACAGGAGCTAGTTTTAAAGGTTGTATACAGTGCAGCTTTTAAGTTAGTATTAAATAAATTTAGGGCATATTCTCATGATATCAGTTTAAATTGAAAACTTCTTTTCTTCCCATATATCTAAACTATAATTATAAACTATAATTTTGGAAAGTGAAAATTTTACTGTAATATGTTAGAAAATTTCCAAATTTTCATCTGAAAATAAGAACTTTCAGTAAAATAGTCACAATATATTGAAAAAAGAAAGTGATGTGGGCCCAAAGTTGGGACCACGGAAGGAAAACACGGAACACGGATTAGAGGTAAGAAAGATATATTAAACAAAAAGGTTACAAAGATAGTGTAAGTGTAAGCGGAGCTTACTATGTGCTAGTGTCCAATATTGGTAGTCGTACGTGGCTGATACTACAGTATTAGAATAGTCTCTCTCTCTCTCTCTCTCTCTCCTCTTCTCCTAGAGTGTTATATCGCATACTTTATATAATCCTGGAAGAGTCCATGTTGTAGGTATGTTACAGTCTCACAACAGAAAGTCAGTTTAAACTGACACCAGGAAAACATGGATTAATTTCTAACATTAACACAACCTTCATAGTTAAGTATATTAAAATAAAATGACTTGTAAAAAGTCATTTGAAGTCTTAAATGTAGATTGTATAATGAATGACACTCCAAAACACACTAATATTGACATAATTTGAAAAGGATTTAATAAAGAGAAATAACACTGATCTTGGCTGTTATATTTAATGAAAGAAAAATATTTTGCTTTTAGATCTGAAGAGCAATTACAAGGTGACTTATGATTACAAAATCTATAAAGAAATAAATTCACTAAAAAAGTTGATAATAAATATTTTATGTAAATTCACGTTTTCAGTTACTTCCTTTTTTCTTCCAGACCAAGATGTCTGAACGAAAAGCTGTCATCAAGAATGCTGATATGTCTGAAGATATGCAGACAGATGCAATTGAATGTGCGACGCAGGCTCTGGAGAAGTTCAACATTGAAAAGGACATTGCTGCATACATAAAGAAGGAGTTTGATAAGAAGTTCAACCCAACATGGCATTGCATTGTGGGACGTAATTTTGGCAGTTATGTCACTCATGAGACTAAGCATTTCATTTATTTCTACCTTGGACAAGTTGCCATCTTGCTTTTCAAGTCAGGGTAGATTTCTGTATACAAAGAAAATGCAGGATAAAAAATCAACATTTTAATTCTTTATGATCACAGACTAAATGGGGAGGATGAAATTTCTTGTCATGATAGTGACTGGATTTGGAATGAAGAAATTAGAAAGGGAAAAATGATTATACTGATATAGACATTGATTTTTTTTGTTCTATGCAGTTATTGTCTTTGTTGATTGTATATTCATTTCATAATAAAATATATATATGTGAGAATCAAGGATCTGGTAAGTTTCTGTGCTAATGAGATCAAGGATTCTTTATCTAAATAACCTTGAAGATTTAGGGATTCAGAGCATCTAGTATTTAGCATGTGCGTGTCGACTACTTCAAGATAGGTGGACTGACTTGCCCAAGGTATATAAATACAAAGCCATAGATGAAAGAAATAAAGAATGGTTATTGTTATGTAGTGGTTTCACAGTGGAGGCTTGTATTTGTACTAAGTCGGTCCTAAAATAGGTTCGACGTACAAAACATTAGGAACTTGATATAATAGGTAATGACGCAGTAATCCAGTTGTGGTTGCTGATACTTTAATATCTGACTAACGGTCGTCCAACATCGACTGACTGACCAACTCACTGAGCGACTCCCTTGTTACTCTTACTACTCCTACTTATTATAGGTGGGAGAGTCTATTAACTATAGAATAGGTGTGTTCCACTATAACAGCTATGTCAGTAGATCTGGCTAGCTAAGTTAATGATTAGGACAATGAAGACCATGATACCATTTACCAATTTTTGCCATGTGCCAAAGTTTTGTATTAATCAAAATAAATACCATGTATTTCTTGTCTATCATTAGTTATGAGAAATTTATTTTTTTATTTATTTTTATTTTTTAATCATTTTGCCCCAAAATAGGTAAACCACCCATTAGCAAGTTATGAACAAAATCTGAGTTCTCACTGGCTGAAGGGAAGATCTAGTCTGTTAGTCTTTCATGATGGTAATAGCAGTGAAGTCGTCTCAAGTATCACCTACCTGCCCCCAGACTGGAATGTGAATCAGTGAATAAATAACCAAACATATTGGAAACGGATGGGATTCATGATGTTAATTCACCTTCCTTTCCCTTGTGTATATACAATAAGCTTTTTCCAGTTTTTGTGCATATCTGCACAAATGAGAAGCAAAACACAAGATAAAGTGATTTATCCAGTTGGTGCAGGACTGTGTGAGGGCCAGGCCAATGTATGTTTACTTACAAAACCACAGTACATGTAAGGTGTTACTGAGAATGAAAGAATATGGATGTCATACATGACACTAAACTCATTCAGAGTTTGCTATATACATACACTTTCTCAGATCAATCTATTTATATATAAAATTCTGTGACTTCCATCTGTACATCACACCATCTAAGATAGCCATACATTAACCAATTGAATACAAATTATGGGCAGAATTGCAAACAGGTAAGTGGGTACAAACTACATTTGGTTTCACTAGGGTGCATAGCTTAGTACAATAAATTTTCATTAATTTTTGGGGGGAAAGATTAAAAGTTTTATTATTTAACATACATATTATTTATTCCCACTATTTTCAAAACAATTTAATCTATCTATCTATCTATCTATCTATGTGTATGTGTATATATATATATATATATATATATATATATATATATATATATATATATATATATATATATATCTGTGTGTATGTGTGTATATATATATATATATATATATATATATATATATATATATATATATATTATTCTGTGACTTCCATTAGTCTATCCATCTGTCACACCCTCTAAAATAACTGCATATTGACCAATCAAAACCAAATTTGGGGGAGTAGTGCAAACAGGTAAGTGGGGTACAAAGTACAGTTGGTTTTACTAGGGTGTGTAGCTTAATATAATAAATTTTCATTATTTTGGGGAAAAGATTAAAAGTTTTATTATTTAACATACAAAATACTTCCATTTTAAAAACAATTTAATGATTCAAATAAATACTTATTTAATAAATATCCAATATTGTTTTTTGCATATCTTTTTCTTTAAGCTTTTATATACAAGAATTCAATTTCCAATTTGCCCTGCATTTGTGAGATCTATAAACAAATCACAAGGCCAAATGCTTCAAAAATTTGGAATTTGGCTCTAGAAAGAAATATTTACACATGACCAGTTGTATGTTGAATGCACAAGAGTAAGAAATCCTACAAATTTATTCTATGCAGTCAAAAAGGAAAAAAAAATTTTCTTAAAAAATTTTGTTTATCAGGTCCTATAAATCCTCTTCTCTCATTTGAAAGCAAATTTTTTCTGTGGGGATTATCCCCACCCCCAACTTGTCTGCCAATGGACTTTACTTAATGTCTACTAGACAGCATGCCAATCAATGGTATAAAAATAAAGGAATTACTCTGTTTTTGTTCCAGGATGTAGTAGCAACAGTATTCTTCTCCACTGGGAGACATTCCCTGGGCAACTAACTACTTAATTTCAACTCAACCATGTAGACATCAGAGACACATATATATGTGCACACCATGTTAATCCCATAAATGTTTTTTTACCTTTTTTTTTTTTTAGATATCTGTATACAGATAAATATAATTTTCTCTTCTTTTCTGAACTATGCTGTTCTCTCTCTCTCTTTCTCTTTCTCTCTCTCTCTCTCTCTCTATCACGCATACATACTATGGCTATGTACATAAATGTTTTCTTTCTTTTCTTTAACCTTTCTATATGCACATAATATATTTTTTCTTTCTCTTTTTTTAACTATATTATCTCTTTTCTTTCTCTCTCTCTCACACACACACACACACACACACACACACACACACTATGGTGATTTTCTAAGAACAGCTTAAATGTGGCACAAGGCTGAAAGTATGGGGCAACCAGTAAGGATTTAACTCACTACTCAGTTGTAATTGTTCTAGAAAGACAAGCTTGCTAACTATTTGTTGTAGAGTAGTTTTCACAGTGGAGGCTTGTATTTCAATAAGTCGTCCTAAATTAGGTTCGACATACAAAACGTTAGGAACTTGGAAATAATAGTTAATGACGCAGCAAATCTAGTTGTGATGGTTGGTACTTCAATGTCTGATATCGACTGTCTCGCTCAACACCACTGATCCGAACTGGCGACCGCTACTACTACTACTTATTATGTGTGGGAAAGTCTATTAATAATAGAATGGGTACATCAGGTATAACACTATTACACCACATCAAGGTCCCCTCACACACTATGGCTAAGTACATAAACGTTTCCTTTCCTTTATTTTAAGCTATCTGCACACACATAATTTCCTCTTTCTCTTCTTTTGTGAGCTATATTGTTCTTTATATAAATATATATTTCAAATTTCATCTTATCTTGAAATTCATTTCTTTTGAAAATGTTGAATTCATTTACTGAGTTTTCCACTTCAGCCATAGAAAGTTGTCATTCCTTTAACTACAAACTGGTGATCAACCGTAACCTCATCCAGTACAAATCTGTAGCAGCTCTTTTATGAACATATCCTGCTAACACTTGTCTGTCTCACCCAATAGACACTGAATCTACACATATTCTTTTAAATCTAACATTTCCTTTATTTAAAGCAGTCAATAAAGCATGAATAAAGTTGTTAAATCAGCCCAACAAGTCCTGGTCTACAGGAAAGAGATTCAAATCACTATAATTTGGTAATCTAATAAAGTTGAAAGTACAATTTTCAGTCTTCTTCCTGTTCCTGTTTTTTTTTTATCCTCTCCTCCAATTTCCATCCCTCTCACCACAACTTCCAGATAGTGAAGGGGCTGATTCATGATCCCAACCAACACCAACTTATTCATTATAGACATAGTAATATAACCAGTCATAGTTGCATTAATTTGCTTGCAATGAAAATCAATTGCTTTCTGGATTTTCAATGCATTTCTATAGTAAAATCATAGGCAATACATTTAGCATAATAAATACTATGTTTTTTTTTCTTTTTAATCAGCCTGGAAAAGCCTCTTGTTGGATGTAGGCCAGATCTTTCCATTTGCCATTAACCCTACTGGCCCAATGCTTGTTGGTAGGGTCTTACAGTACCTGGTATTCTCAAAAGAGAACCCATCTACAGACCAATGGAAGGGTCTCATGCTCTCCTGAATCTACTACTAATATTCATAAAAAATACAAATACCTAATTATGTAGAATAATGGATCATATGCAATATAGGTGAATAATTCAACTAGAAAAATTTGCCTGGGGGTTCTTGATAGGCTCCAGAGGCGAATATGCAATATAATTGGCCCTGCTCTGGCATCTCATCTACAGTCACTTTCTCACAGACACGCCGTCGCCTCTCTCTGTCTGTTCTACAAATACTTTCATGGAAATTGCTCCGAGGAGCTGCATTCGCTGGTTCCCAGACTTCATGAGTTCATGCATCCCACTCTCACTCTCACCCCTTCACTGTCGAAACTCCTAAATGTAGCCATCTCTTCTACTCCAATAGCTTCATGTCTCGCACCTCTCGCCTGTGGAACTCCCTTCCCTATTCCATTTTCCCTGAGAGCTATACTCTCCAGCTATTCAAGTGTAATGTCAATCGACATCTCCAGTTGCCTTGATCTATCCACTACCCTTCTCCTCATCCTTTCTTCTATCACTCCTATCTGATCTTGCTCTAAATTTTCTGTAACCCCTTGCATCCTAGTGGCTTCCCACCTTGCTTGGGGTGAAATGCCTAAAAAAAAAA